TGTCGTTCTCACCGTCCGCAGGCAGCTTCCTGGGGTGCGTGCGGCGGCGCGCGGCGGGGCAGGGTGGGGACTACTCCTCCTTGGGCTGAGGACTCGGGCGAAGCCTTAGCCCACTCCCGGAACTCCTTGTCTTTTTCTGGTATCGAATCTAATTGATTGATTACACCTTCCAGGCCATGTGCAGGTGGACTGCAACAACAGGGGGTCTCACTGCCTACCTTCGCAACCCGGACAACAGACCTGCTGGAAAACTTGTGCGAATGTGCATGGCATTGCCATTGCTGCCCCCGGAGCGGATTCGCCCAGGGTTTGAAGAGATGCGGCGGTCAGCTCGCCGGCAAGAATTCTACGTAGTGATGGAGCCATTCTTAAACTACGTGGAAAACACATGGCTGAATGGTAATTATTTAAATTTCAGTATTGTGCGAAAACAATTTCCGTTCGCACCTAGGTGTGGTCACTAGTCTATAACCCAAAGTGTGTGACATTCGAACACTTTGCAGTGCGTGCCAAAAATCCATAGAAAAGTGTGTGACAACCATTTATTCACAGAAAAGTGTGTGACTTACAGCAACAAGTTTATACTTCGACACCGAAGAATGTGTGAACTGGATGTCACAAAATCATATGCGAGTGGCATGACTGGCATGCACACTTTCGTGTGTGAGATTTTGGCACGCACTTTTAAGTTTTCGAAAGTCACACACTTCTGTTTGTAGAATAGGTGTCTGTTGCCCCGGCCTTCTACAAGTACTTTACGAGCCCCCCCCCCCACTCCTTTATTTTATGCATTGCAGATATTGGACCAGAGCACATCAGTGTATATCGACGGGCCAGGAGGACGAATAACGACCAAGAGTCCTACCACCGGACACTGGTTGACACCTTGGGGCGCCCCCATGGCAACCCATGGGTATGGATAGGTATGTTGACACTCATGAAACATACAGGGTGGTCCACAGCCCCCTTCTTTATTTGGCTTACACTGTACCGCATGCAGGCGTGCGGGCGGGCTTGCCTACCGTTGCTCACCGTGGCTCCTTACGGCCCCGTGTGACTATGGACCGTATGGACGCAAGTGCAACATTTAAGTCCAGAACTGCACTGATAAACATAGTGTGCAACTGCAAGTTGAATACTTGCAAGTGTTTAACTCGGTAGGTGTGCACTTGTAAGTGTGCAACTCCTCTGTTGAACAATTCCAGAGAGTTAACGATGACTGTTTAGGAAGTACTCAACAGAGGAGTTGCACACCTACAAGTGCACACCTACCGAGCTAAACGCCTGTACGTGTACTACTATCTATGGTGTCAAACATTTGCAAGTATCCCACCTTTAGTTGCGCACTTACAAGTGTAAGCAGTTGCACACTTAGTTTATTAGTGTGGAGACAAGCACTCGTTCGGCGCCACATGCACCGCGGACGGCGTGGGCCTCGCGACCCGCAAACCGCAGCGAGCTGCTCTAAATGCAGTACAACGGGGTCCCGCCTAAGTGAGTCGCTTGTCGATAAGGCCTTCGGGGCGTAGAATACTGCGGGGTTCGAAGTCCCCGCCCTGCGTCGTGGCGCGCCACGCGTGGTTGCGACCCTGTCCATGGGTCCGCGGTGTCAGCCCGCCGTGCGAGTCCTTGCCTACCTTTATTATTGCGTCTTGGACACTGTCTAAACAGTACGGCTTGTAACACGTACCCTGTATTTTGCATTCGCGCCCATACGACTTATTTCTAACCAAACGTGTCGTCCTCTAATGCTCCATAAGTATTTCAAACGGGCCAGGATAAAGTAACCCACGACTGTTGTTCTTTGCTTTCAGACAACTACCGTGACCATGAGAACAGCCACAGGTTGCGTCACCTCCAAGCATCGCGTGGGCACAACCCTTCGCGTGCGAGGAAGGAGTCATACGTTCTCCTCGACAAGAGGATCGCCACCGCCACCAGGAAGCTCGAGGCCAACCGCATCACCACCATTGAGTTCCTCAGAATCGCTAGCCACCTATGCCACTCCACCTACAGCCGGGTCGCCCAGCGGAGGCTGAACGACCAGCGGGCTGAGGGGGTTGAACCGCTGGCCCCGGAGGTCGCACACCCCATCCCTGAGGCAGAGATGGGGCAACCGCCTCCACCCCCTCCTCATGTGCAGGACCAGCTCGACGCCCCCGGGATGGAGGACGACTCCTCGGAGGATGAAGAGGAAGTGGACAACCCTTTTGTCCCTGGTGGCCGTGGCCGTGCCCGAGGCCAGGGAGCGCAGCGCGGAGGTGCCGGTGGCCGAGGCCGGGGCCGGGGCCAGGCAGCACAGCGCGGAGGTGCCGGTGCCGGTGGCCGGGGCCGGGGCCAGGCAGCGCAGCGCGGAGGTGCCGCTGGCCGGGGCCAAGGTCAGGCAGCACAGCGCGGAGGTGCCGCTGGCCGGGGCCAAGGCCGGGGCCGAGGCCGGGGCCGCGGCCGGGGTCGAGGCCAGGCTGCACAGGGCGGTGCCGGGGGTCGAGGCCAGGCAGCACAGGGTGGTGCCGGTGGCCGTGGCCAAGGTCAGGCAGCACAGCAAGGTGGAGCACGACGGCGAAGAGGCGCGGCAGAAGACCCACCCTTGGGAGCAGTGCTGCGGGCTCGGCGGAACCTAGGCGGTGAGTTGGGCTGCCGGATTGAAGACAGCATTCTTACTCCTACATATGCCATACCATTCTATCGACAAGTATCTAAGTGTATCTCATTTCTCT